TGGATTCCCTCTGCTTGCTTACTTAATGGACTGTTTGTCTGCCCAGGGCTCTGGTCCCCTGCAGGTGGTTCTGACCCAAAGGCAGCACGAGTCTGGGCCACCCACGCCACAGGCCAAGCCTGTGCTCCAGAGCAGCAGCCTGTCCCTGTGCATTTGAAGGCTGAGGCCCGAGGACAGCAGTTAGCTCAGCAGAAGATCCATCTGGCACACAGCAGGGGCTTTCCTGGCCCTTCYGAAGGACACGGGGACAGCTCTAACCTCTGTTCGCAAAGGCACATCCGGCCCCTCGTGGCCTAGTTAGGCTACTCCACGCCTGGGAAATCCATCTGGGGATTCGCAGGCCACGGGAGGGTGTCTTTGGTTTCCCCTTCAACAGACTTATCTGCAGATGGAGTGCKGTTCTTAGATGAAGCTAGAAATCGCACGCTCTTTCTCACTGAGATGAGAGGTATTCCCTTACTGCAGCAGGCACGGAGCTGGGCAGATTCCTGTTGATTCAGTAAATACTTACGGGGCCACCACAAGCAGCATAAAAGCCCAGGTGCAAGACAAAGAAGGACGGGGCCTTTCAAGATAGAGCTGAAGGCGACAGGAGCAGGGAGCGCCCTGCGATTCTTTCAACTGGACAGTGGGCAACGTCTCACCCTTATACTGGGCATCTACCCTTGTTGTGAGAAAAAGAAAAAAGGGGGGCTGTGGAAACTTCCTTAGGAATAGTGCCAAGTGGGGGAGGGGTTCTGCAGACAGACCATTGATGTGGAAATGCTCCAAACCAGGGGTGCTTGTCTGGGATTCATGCAGCCCCAGAACAGACGAGTAGTCTGCTTTCTAAGGAACATCCTCGTACTTGAAAGAAATTATTATCACCTGCTTTGTTCAAATTGGACAACATTACAGCATTCCAGGGGACTGACAACTTCCCTGTGAGAGAGGCAGCAGAAAGACCAGGTGTCAATCAAACAGCTGTGACTGAACTTGGCACCCTGGGCCAGGACGCTTCCTGCATGTAAGCCGGATCCCCAGCTATCCCGMAGGGTGGGTTCACCTCTGGATAATCTGACTGAAGGGGCCCGCCCTTCACCAGGTGTGCGGCGTCAACACAGGGCACCCCGTGGCCCTGCCACCCACACAATGAAGAGCAGGCAGAGCAGCCAGCACCAACACCCAGTCCCAAACACGTCACTCATTTCCCAACACCTGTGAGGTCAGTGGCTTCCCTTTTGATACTAGAGGCATTCGGGGTTGAGGCTCAGAGAAGTTAAAGAACCTACCCCACAAGAGAAAGGAACAGAAAGCACAGCTAGAAAGGAAGGAGTTAAAATATCACTGTTCACAGATAAAGTGTTCCCACACTTAGACCCAAAAACCTCCTCCAGAAGACTTTTAGAGATTACAAATTCAGCAAAGTAGCAGGGCACAGAATCAACATATAAAATCAATAGGTTTTCTGCACGCCAATAATGAATCCACTGAAAAAGGAATTAGAAAAGAATATTCCATTCCCAATAGCCTCAAAAATAAACAAACCTGGGAATAAATTTAACCAAGGAAGTGAAAGACCACCACAGTGAAAATTACAGAGCACCGAAGAAAGAAACTGAGGACATTAGAAGATGGAAAGTCCTTCCTTGTTCTCGGACAGGCGGAATGGATGCTGTTAAAACGGCTGAATCTCCCAACGCTGTACCCAGACTTGGTGCAACCCCCATCAAAACACTGATGACATTCTTCACGGAACTAGAAAAAACATTCCTAAAATTCACAGGAAGATAAAAGACACAGAACAGGTTCTGAACAGTAAGAGCAGGGCTGGAGTAACACTCCACTTCAAGTCACACTACTGGGCCACGGTGACAAAACAGCATGGTACTGGGGTCAAAACAGAGGGGCAGACCAAAGAAATAGAAGACACAGGCAAACCCACACAGAAACTGTCATCTGATCCTTGACAAAGGCGTCCCAAAGACACAATGGAGAGAGAGACTGCCTTTTCAGGGTTTTTTTTTTTTTTGCGGGGGATGGGTGAGGAGGGGAAGTGACCAGGGATTGAACCCAAGGGCACTTACACACTGAGCAACATCCCCAGCCCTTTTTGATACAGGGTCTCACTAAGTTGTTCAGGGAGTTGCCAAATTTCTGAGACTGGCTTTGAACTTATAATCCCCCTGCCTCAGCCTCCCCAGCCACTGGGATTACAGGCATTCCAAGACAGCCTTCATAACAAACGGCGCTAAGAAAACTAGTTATCCACACGTAGAAGAATAAGACTAGATCCTTATCTCTTACCCTGCACAAAAGTCAACTTAAAGTGGATCAAAGATCTAAGAACTAGACCAGGAGCTGCAACTGCTAGAAGAAAACATACAGTCAACACTCCAACATATAGGAACAGGCAAGGCCTTCCTCAAGAGAAAAAAAAAACAAACAAACATAAAAACAAGAATCAATGTATGGGATGGCATCAAATTCAAAGGCTTCTAATAAAATTATGGCATTTGCCAGTAAGTGGATGGAACTGGAGACTGTCATACTAAGTGAAATAAGCCAGTCCCAAACAATGAAAGGCGAAATGTTCTCTCTGACATGCAGATGTGAGCACACTAAGAATAGAAGTTCACCGGATTAGACAAAGGGGAATGAAGGGAAGGGAGGGGCGATGGGGATGGGAAAGACAGTGGAATGAACCAGACATCCCTTTCCTATGTTCATATATGAATACATGACCTGTGTAACTCCACATCATGTACAACCTCAAGAACAGGAAGTTATACTCCATGTATGTATGATATGTCAAAATACATTCTACTGTCATGTGTAACTAAAGAGAACAAATGAAAAAGTTAAAAAAAAAACCCAGAAACTTAAAAGCTTCTGCATAGTAAATCAGAATGAAGAGAGAGCCTACAGAATGAAAGATAATTTTCAGCTACTCTTCCAACAGATGAATATCCAGAATACATAATAAAGCCAAAAAGAACCCCATCAAAAATAGATACAAAAATCCCAATTCAATGAGAGAGCAAAAAAACTAAACAGATATCCCTCAAAAGAAGAAATACCAATGGCCAAATACACCAAAAAATGTTCAACATCTTTATCAATCAGGGAAATGCCAATCAAAACTATTYTGGGATTTCATCGTACTCCAGTTAGAATGGTCCTATCCATTCCCTTTACATAGTTCTGCTTCCTCACCTGTCAAGTTGCAGAACACAACAGACCCCGCAGCCTCAATTCCCAATACATGCCCCACAAGATGCTACAGAAATCTCARTTCTCTGCTTTTAAAAGGGCCTGTCTACTRCCACCTACCCATAAACCCACAGGGGATTGAACTCAGGGACCATGTCCCTAGCACTTTTTTGTATTTTATTTAAAAAGAGGGTCTCACTGAGTTGCATAGGGCCTCCATAAGTTGCTGAGGCTGGTTCTGAACTTACGATCCTCCTGTCTCAGCCTCCTGAGCCAGTAGGATTACAGGCATGTGCCAYGGCACCTGGCTTGCAAACCCACACTGTTTAGGAGGACCCTGCTATCACTCATTTCAGGTTTATTCCAAGGCAAATGCTGTTTCTGAAAATGGATTTGTGTGCTTTCTCCCATTTCATCTTTTTGGCTTTTCCCTCTCCTCCAGGACACCTGGACACAGCCTCCCTCTGCAAATGCATAGCAGGCAGAACCAGCCCTGAGCCCTCTTTGGGCAGACAGGCCACCTTCAGACAGAGCTGAGGTCTAGGTGCAGGACAGGCATTGCAGTGGCCTGAGAGTCTCCCTATCCACCTCTTAAAGACAGCTGGTTGGGGTGACGTCAACCTTGATAAGATGGCAAGGAAATTCCCGGGGGTGCGTGCTGCCTCAGAGGCCCTCTGCAGGCACGGCGAGGCACGAATGCTTCCCAATCAAACACACAATTTTTCTTGGAGGAAACAACACACGCTACGCTTGCAAAGACACCAGCGAGGGAATGGTGCATAGTCCCAGATCACGACAGCCAGCCCCTGAGGGGTGCAGACTCCAGACAGAGCCAAGATGGGAAGCTGCCCAAGAGCACGAGCAGCAGAGGCAAACGTCCGGGGGTCACTCAGGCCAGCAGCAGGGCACTCACTACAACGCCACCTTCATGTGCAGACAGCTGCTGAACTGCTGTCCCTTGGCCACTCCTAAAACCCCAGCTGTACCAAGTTTCTACCGGACACAGAAAAAGGTGAAAATGACTAAGAAGCAAACAAACAAGAACACCCACATAAGCTAACTGACTTCCCATAGAGAAGGACAAATGGGGTGCCCCAAATCTGTGGCTCCCCACCTCGCAGGGCTCGGGTGGAGGGCGACTCTGCTCAGGAAACGAGCACCGCCAGTCCCATACTCACATGTCGCTGCCTGGCCTGGGCTTGACCGAGTCCTCTGCCGGGAGGCAACACTCCATGATGTCGTTGAAGCCCGCGTTCCCAATATTCTTGGCAAGCTGCAAAAACAAAAGTCTATTTCAGGGCACTCAATTATTAATACACTCCACAGCCACCCATTACTCATACATCTGATGATTTATTTAGTGGCCACTAAGAAATAGAGCAATAAAGTGGTTTGCCTTTAATGAAGACGGACAAAGCCCAAAGCCCAAAGGCACCCGTAAAAATCACAGAAGAGACGCAGCAAGCCCTCTCCAGAGGACTTTGCACGAAACGCCCCCAGCCTGTCCCCACAGACACAGGGAGAAGCGAGGTGCCACCCTCCCCTGCCCTTCTGAAGGCCTGGGCTCCCACTGAAACTGTCGACTCCTCGTCCCCAAACGACCTTCCTCAAGCCAGCTACGAGGTGCGATGACAGTGCAAGGGAGACGGGGCCAGGAAGCCAAAACTTCGGTCTGTGTCCCCACAGGGAGGCCAGCTGACCGGGGGCCAGTCTCCATGGGCCGGGGAGGAGGCCTGGCCCCACAGGGTGGCAGCAATGTTCAAGTGGGACAACCTAGGTGGCCACACTCAGGAAACTGTCCCGCCGGCCCCAGCACAGGGCTGGATGTGGCAGCCAGRCTTCCGGCTTGGCAGACACGAAGTGGACACCTTTCCACTGGACGCTCTCTGGACTCCAGGGTCTGTGCTCCACGGGCAGCCACCAGGCACCTGCCGTGAGGTAAGCGACCCCGACAGGGCAACCGGCCTGCTTGGGAACGAGTGGAGGAGCGGATGCAAGGCCAGGAGTTCTTAAAACCAGGGACTCATCCTCCTTCCAACACCCAGCGCGGCCCGAGCCAGTCAGCCTCCGGGTCAGGGATGGAGCCCGGGGCCTCCCATGACTAGGCACRCGCCTGCCACAGAGCCACACCCCGTCAGAGTTCTTGCTGGCACCAGGGATTGATCCCAGGGGCACTGAGCCACGTCCCAGCCCTTGTTAYTTTGAGACAGGGTCTCATGAAGTTGCTGAGGTGGGCTTTGAGTTCTYGATCCTCTTGCCTCAGCTTCCCCAGTCGCTGGGGATTATAGATGTGGGCCCTGTGCCCGGCCAGGTCARAGTTCTTAAATGTTTCATGAAACACTAGTGAAGGGACCTCTTATCAGAGTGTGGTGTTTTGAGAAAAATGTATTTTAATTTCCACATTGAAAATGATATGTTTGGGAAGCTGGTGACACTTCTGATAGTTAACTCAATTAATTACGCTGACAAAGTGTTAATGGGGGTCTCTGAGAGGTCYGGCTACTGCCTGAGCAGTCTGCTTTATCTCCAGGGAGAACTGGCTTAGGAAACAGCAGAAGGGAACTGGGTTAGACATACTGGGAACCTCCTGATGGGTACTAATACCCAACACCGAGCTGGGATGGCAAAGGATGTGGAAGGTGTTTTTTTACACAGGACCAAACAACTACATGGAGCCTCTCTGTCCCTGATGAGTGACTCAGGTGCACAAAGTTAATGGCTCAAAGCACTAACACTAACGAGCTCCACCTCCTCACTCAGTCCTGGCTCTGGGTCCTCAAGCCACCRTGAGAAGGCAGAACCTCAGGTTGCCAGGTCCAAGTCTCCTGGACCCAGACACCTGAAGCTAGTGCAGGGTGGCACACCACAAGATGACAAGTACCGACCCCCTCGGGGCCCAGCCCTGTGAAGGATTCCTAGGGCAGTCRCGTCACAGGCAGGGCTGCATCTCAACAGAACCCCGGGCTTACAGGCAGGCCAGCCCACCCCTGCCCTRCAGTACCAGGGCACACCACCCCCAGCCAAGCACACTGTTTTCTGAAAGGGAGTGACATAAACAGCTAGGTGGTCCCCTGTCTGAGCCAGGGGTCAGCAGATGCCTCCTGGTCTGCGTTGGGCAGACGGGGGGGGGGGGGGGGGCAGGAGGAAGAGAATTCCCCGAGACAGAAAGCTGCCTCCCTTCTGCTGGGACTTGGCTGGCTTATGGGGGACAGCTGGTTCAGGGAGCCACCAGCTCCAGGTCACAGACATCCAACACTGCCCCCCAGTGCTGCCAAGACCCGGTTTTTTTCAGCCCGCAGAGAACCCGTTTGGAACCAATCGCAAAGACAAAAGCATTCACGATAGCAGCCACAGGTTCCTATCAAGAAAACGTGGGCCCAGCAGGCTGGGTGGGGAGCACCCGGGAGCAGGAAGGCAGGGTGCTCACCAGAGCCCCGGCAGGGAGGTGTTCCTGTGCGGAGGTAGGACTCAGTCAGACTAGATCTAGGAGAGGCAGAGTGCTGTCGGCACAGTCGTTCTCTGCCTGGGGGGACTGGGTCCACGCTCCAGGATGCCCAGGTCCTTTATATGGGATTGCAGGCACCCTGTAGTCTCCTCCCAGATACTTCAAGTCACCTCCAGACCACCTACAACATCTGCTCAATGTCAGTGCCACATTAATAGCTGTCCTACTCTGTTGTTTAGGGAATAATAAGGAAAAAGTCCGTAATGTTCTGTGTGGAGTAACGACACGGTATGCAAACCAGGCTGGGGCAGAGCGGGAGGGAAGCCACGGCAGAGTGTGTCTACACCACCACCATCGGAGTGGATGCAGTGTGATCTTCCACACAAGGCAAATTCAAATTCTGTTTTTTATAACTTTCTAGAATTTCTTTCAAAAATTTCTGGTGGAGGTGGGTTGAATCCATGAAAGCAGAGCCTGAGGATACAGAGGGCCGGTCTGTGCTTCATTGAGGCAGTGAAATCGCAGCCCTAGCCACACAGCCTCCTCCTCATGGCACAGGGACACCACTGTGGCCTGCTTCTCCAGCTGGTTCTGGTGGGCTGCCCAGTCGGGTGGGCTCAGCAGGTGAAGACAGTGCTACCCAGTAACCTGGCAGCCAGCTGGCCTCTGTCAACCAAACTCAGGCTCTCTCTCTGTTCACCTGCCTCTCTCCCCGAGGATGCCCAACCTGGACAGAGAACTGGGCTGTTATGAACAGGCTCCCCTGGATCCCAGGGGGCGGGGGTGGGGGAAGGTGGGAGAGGATGACACACTCTGACACACACATGCCTGGTGGCCCAGGCAGGAGACGAGATGTGCACTAAGTATGCACAGTGCCTCTCCCAGGGTGGGCACAGAGGACACTCCGGGGTGCAGCAAGCCAGCCCACAAGCTATTTCTCTTTGATATTTCTGACAAAGCACACAATTTGTTTGCTCAGTGTTGTTCGCAGGGCTCCGGCCATGCAAGGTTCAGAGCTGTGACTCATGAAGAAGGCTGGACACAGGCTCTGGAGCCCAGTGACCCATGTGCAAGTGCAGGCCCCAGTTTTCAGAGTCCTCAGACAGAACACAGAGTGGCCACGACATGTTATTCAACGAATGGCAGCGGGTGGTCAGTTTCTCATGAACCCTAAGCCACTGCTTTTAGGATGCACAGTGGCTTATCTCAGTCCCAGAGACAGCAGTGGTGAGGCGAAAAAGCCCTGGCGTGGTGGGGCTTTGCCCCCCCACTCCACGCACTGCTCCAGGCCAGGCTGTGGGCTGACCTGTGCGAGTGTCTGATGGCCTCACAAGACGGGCAAGAGGCAGAGTTGAGTCCACTCACAGCTGCTCCTATGGTTCCTGATGCTTGTTCTTCAACTTGATGGGAGACGATTAACTTCACCTCAAAACATCCAGGCACATTCATTCATTCAGGGTGGTGCTGGGGATGAGCCCAGTCCTGCACACGCTGGGCCAGCGCTCTGCCCTGAGCTGTGTATCAGCACAAGGTTTCCTTTACTAACTTCACTATGATAGCGAAATGGAGCAGAGTAATATGCCAGTACCAGTGACGATGATTCTCTATGACTTGAAAAAATGCTGAAATCATGATGTTTTACACTAAGGAGGAAATGTATCTTTTAAAAATCTCAGCTTACTCGAAGGTTTTCTGAAAGCAGGTTTATTGAGAATCTAAGCCTATTAAGCTGAAGTGTGCTAAAATCTTAGGAACTAATCAATTAATACTTCAATTACTCAAGCTCCGTTTCACGGACTGAGAAGGGATTCCAAAAGCAAGTAAAAAGAAGAAAAGATTATTACTGACCAGCCACCTCCACGGATGCTGCTCAAGTTCATCCATTTAACAAGGAAAGCAAGCGTGCTTTCAAACAACTGCAGTCCAGGAGGGAGTCGCACCACACGGTGCAGCGGCAGGGCCTGCAAACCCGAGGCCAGAGAATAACTCACAGAATTAAGTGAAACACCGTGTGGGAGGACAGGGTGACACTCTAGTGGGTGAGCACCTATCTGTTTAGGGACAGGATGCCAGACAGAAAAGGAGGATGCAGCTGAGCCAGGTCCCACTCAGCACCTGCTGCCAGGCCACACCCCACTAAGTACCTCCTGCCAGGCCACGCCCCACTCACACACATCCTGCCGGGCCATGCCCTACTCACCACCTGCTGTCAGGCCATACACTCCCCACACACCTGTATCAGGCCATGCCCTACTCACATACCTGCTGCCAGCCCATGCCCACTAAGCACCTCCTATTAGGCCATGCCCCACTCACCACCTGCGGTCAGGCCACGCCCACTCACCACCTGCTGCAGACCACGCCCTCCACCTGCTTAAGGCCACGCCCACTGACCACCTGCTGCCAGACCACGCCCCCCCATGCAGCTGCAGTCAGGGCCATGCCAAGCTCAGCACCTGCTGCCAGGTCACATCTGCTGAGCACCTGCTGTCTCTCACAGGCTATTTAAAAACCTCTCCTTGCCAACAAAAGCTAAAATAGATAAATGGCACTGCATCCGATTAAGAAGCTTCTTCACAACCAAGAAAACAAGAGTAAAGAGACAACCTGTAGAACAGGAGGGAGTATCTGCAAATACACACATCTGACAAGGAGATAATGTCCAAAATATATAAAGAACTGAAAAAAACTCAATATCCAGAAAAACAAATAGCCAAAGGACCCAAATAGGCATTTCTCAAAAAGAAGACCTACGAATGGGCCACAGGCACAGGCTGGAGTGCTCAGCATCACTGATTACCAGGGAACTGCAAATGTAACCACCACCACCAACACCTCGCACTCATCACAATAGCTTTTATCAAAAAGTCACAAGTCAGGGCTGGGGTGTGGCTCAGTGGTGGAGCGCTTGCCTAGCATGTGCGTGTGTGCGAGGCCCTCACTCCACGCCCAGCACTATGCCAAAAAAAAAAAAAAAAAAGGGCAAAAGTTAACAAGTGTCAGTGAGAATGCGGAGGAAAGTGTCAGTACAACCCTGCACACTGCTGGTGGGAATGTGGATTAGCACAGCCACCGTGGGGAAGCACACAGAGGTCCCTCGAAAACTAAAGTAGGTCTGCTGACATTCCAGCAAGACGCGCACCGGAGGATGGAGATGTCCGTGTGTATTCAAAGGAAATGAAACCAGCACGTCAAAGAGATGCCCACACCGCAGCAGCCTCACACCAGCAAAGATACGGAATCCACTGAAGTGTCCACCAACGGATAAACGGGTAAGGAGAAGTGGGTACGGATATCTACAATGGAATACCATTCAGCCTTGAAAAAGCTGTCATTTGCTTTTTAAAGGAAAAAGCAAAGACATGTCAAGTGAAATAAGCTGGGCACAGAAAGACACACTACGTTCTCACTCAGATCCAAGTTCCAGAAGCAAGCAGTAGAATGCTGGCTACCAGGGAGTGGGGTGGAGGATAACTGGACAAAGGATATAAAATTTTAGTTAATCAGGGTGAATAAATTCTGAAGATCTAAGGCAGATCACAGGAACTATAGCTGATAATAAAAGATACTTGTAAATTTCTCAGAGGAGGTTTTATGTTCTTATCACAAAAAATGGTGATATGTTAACCAGTTTGATTTAACCATCCCCATGTGCATAATGTATGAAAACATCATGGGTACACACCATCAATCCATACTAAAAAAACAAATTTAATAAAATCCCTCTCCTGCCATGACACATCCCTCTGAGTTGTGGTCTATCCTGCTGTTTCCCTAAAATCTCCTCTCTGATAGCTTGTCCATCTCCACCAGCAGGTTGAGCCAATGCTGATGCCCAGGAAAACATACTGTGATGAACCAGCCAACCAAAGACCCTGCGCCACTGTCCTACGGCCCAGAAAGGCTCAGCACACAGCAGACAGCCAGGGTGCCCGCCGGGGGGCTCTCCCTCGGATCTACCCATCTGGAAACAGGGGTCACTCTTCTGAAAGAATTCTGTAAAGATCATCTGGGGCTGGGCACAGTGGCGCCTGCCTAAGATCCCAGCGGCTTGAAAGGCTGAGGCAAGAGGATAGTGAGTTCAGAGTCAGCCGAGTCAGTGAGACCCTGACTCTAAATAAAATACAAAATAGGGATGGCGATGTGACTCAGCGGTGAGCACCCGAGCTCAATCCCCGGCAACCCCCTCCACCACCACACAAAAAATCATTTGCATGAGGAGRTAGTAACAATGGCAAATATTTTGTAGGTTCTATTATGTGCCAGACATAATCCTATAAATGGGGGTGGGAGGGAGAACACACACCCAAGTGAGAGAGGTGTCAAGACTTCAGGAAATTCGTCTGAGCAAAAGAAAATAAACAATCCAGGTGCTTTAAAAAGGCTTGGAGTGTCTGTGCTTGATGGTGCAATGTAGGGTCCTGGTGTGCGGCCATAACTACACTCTCCACCTACTGCTGAGCCCCAGAAGGGCTGGGGTAAGGCTTCAGTCCTAGCTCACAGGGACGGGGGGGGGGACAGGAGAGACCCACCTTGAGCCACCTAAGGATCCCTGAGCGCAGGGTCGAGCAGGGGGCAAGAACCAAATCCCACTTTCTCCCACTTTCTACTTTTGCTTTTCTGATGACCTTGGAGGGAAAGAGATCCCAGCCAGGGAAGGTTCAAGCAGAAATTAGCCTTCTGACAAGTTAGAGTTTGAAAACAACCAGAGACACTGAAAGGCTCAGCCTGAAGTCTCAAAGTGGACGGAAGTGGCCAAACTTTAAATTTCTGTGAGTTTACAGACTCGAAAGACAGACCCAAAATCAGGGATCAGGGGTCACTTTTGTCATTTCAACAAAAGGAAAACATTCCTTTCCATCTTGGTTGGTGTTTTCCTCTTCACGGGTAACAGAACCTGCACATATCTGGTAATTCACGTGGGCAGCGTAAAACTGGCCATGGCGGAGCATCCCACACCAGGGGAACAGGCAGCCACAGATCAGCGTCCTTCTCCCCAGCCAGCTATAGAGCATTCCKGAGGCTGGTGGTGGAGGGGCAGCAGTGAGGCTCACATCTCACTGCATGGCAGGACCACCCACCACAAAGGCCAGTCATGACCCAGTTCCTCAAAACTGAAGAGTGTGGGCTCTAGAGTCAGATGGGGGGATGCTCTAGGGTGCCCCCTTAGCAGGTACGTAGCCCTGGGAGTCCCAGCTTCCTCCTCAGTAAGGTGGGATACCCTGCCAGGTCAGCAGGCTGTCGTAGAAACCAAACGAACAACAGCGTAAGTGCCCTGCCGAGCACCTGGCGTGAAACAGGCAGTCCCCTCCTCATAAGCTGTTCAGTGCTTCCCTGCGCTGTAGCGGATCAGCGAAAGCAGAACTGCCGTAGTTCATCACTGTTCACTGGGAGACACTCTGTGCTTCTTTGAAAACAAGCTTTGACAACCTCAAATCTAGGGCGTCATCGTTTACTCCTTAGATAATGCAAGCATACACGCACATCCCCAAGATGCAGGCCAGGCACACAGCACATCAAAGAACCCCGCCCAGCATGTCTCCAAGAGGGCACTGCTGGGGTCCCGTGAGTCTGGCTCAGCTTTAACCTCCGAGTAACAGGGCGCTACTATCGAGGCTATGGGGCCCACTCTAGCGTCCCCCAAATGTGGTCTTCCAGCACCATGAAGAAATTCCTGGGGAAAGTGCAAGGGCCCCACAAGGTGRTGCAGAGGGTATCAGAAGTCCAGACACACCGGACCCACCGTGGTCGTCAAGAGGACTTAGGGCCCCACAAGAGGAACACCGACAGGGTAACTGATCTTCGGTCCAGAATACTACTCTTAGTAGCCACCGAAGCCCAGCGGCCTCAGACAGCACCTCAGGCGCTGCTTGTCACAGGCAATCGTGCACGTGCCAACAGCCCACGGAAGCGCACRTTGTAGGCGTCCAGAGCATGCAGCCGACCCACCTCCTGGCTAGGGGGGCTGCCGCCTCAGTGCCCTGGAGCTCCCACAGAAGACGCTTCCCTTCCTATCTGCCATGAGGCTTTGGGCTGCCACCGAACCAAGAGGGAAAGACTTTTCTTTTCTAATGGCAACAAAGATTAGTCTCTTTCCTGAGAGGGACAGCGTGGGCCAKGGAGAAGCCCACTAGAGGCCTGAGCAAACACAGCCCTGTCAGAAACCGGCTGATGTCTCAGGGAGAATGACCCCTCTCCGTCTTCAGGCCTCGGGTTCCGAGTCCACTTCACGGACAGGGTGAAATGGACCATGCTACATCCCAGGCCACTTGGGCAGAATCTTCCATCAGCAAGTGCCCTCACCTGCTAGAGCTGAGAAGGAGGTTCTCATTACCCAAATCCATCTCCCAAGGTAACAACTACCAGCCCCCTGAAATTTCGAGAAACCCAAGTGGATTTGAATGCCAAAGTAAAAACTGAGATTTCTGCTCCTTTAGCTCCAACCCCCAAATGAGCATTTAGAAATTACCAGCAGCTCCGATGTTCCCAGTACATCTAAGGTCAGGGACTGCATCCTGGAGTAGTGGACTCCCAGCTCKCGGTGGATTCCAGAACACTCAATGCAGGTCAGAATGCCCAGGTTGGTGGAAAGCCACGTAGGATCTGCCAAAGAGAATAAGACAAATTTAAGCGATTGGTTGGAAGAGGGCAGAAGACAGAACTGCTTTCCTGCTGGTTACTGAGTGGGGGCTTTGAACCTGAGTACTTCCTGATCTTTGACACAAATGGAATCCTTGATTAATACCACTAGTTAACAAGCCAACCCTAGGTAGGGACACGTCWGTCCTCCTTTCTCTTCCCTCTTCCTCCACCTCCCCATCCTTCCACTCATTTAAGTGACAGGTGTTGTGAGTATGAAAATACGGAGGGCACAGTGCTCTCAGGAGACTCTGGGTTCCTCCAGGACTGGTCCTGAACACAGACTGTGCCATCACCAACCTAGTCAGACAGGCAGGACAGAGCAAGAGCAAACATGACCCACCAAAGCCTAGTCCTATAAGGAATGGACCCAGCACATCCACACCTACAGATGCTAGTAACAGAACAACYGGCCCGCTTACGACACGCTGGGTTCAGTGCTTCAGTAGTAGCAACAATAGYGTCCATTCTAAGAGCTTCAGAAGTCAGAGCACTTTTGTACCATATCTCATTTAACRCCACCAACAGCCCCAAGAGAAGACCAGGATAGTGATTCCCTGTGCAGCCCAGGCAGCACAATTCTTAGACCAAAGTTGCTAGCAGGTACGCTRCAGGCTGCAGTCCTGCACGTGCCTGAGCTCAAACCACATCTTCCCCACATGGCAGGTTTACTCCTCACTGAAACACCCTACTCTGTGCTAAATTTACAAAAGAGTAAAACGAATTAAACTGAGATGTACTTGAGCACATTACCATGTCCACGAGGTTGATTCTTAAAATTGCTTGCTGCCCCTTTGAAGTTCACAGCAGGTAAACACAATCTTGGTCACTAAGTAATTGTGAAAAGTTATTTTTTAAATGTTCAAATTATAAACAGTTTATCCACATCAGGAAATACTCCTGGGCATGTGTGTGTGCACTAGGCCTCTTCTGCTTTGTGCACTGAGCTCTAGGCAGTGACAGGCATGCCTTAGACGATGCTTATCAAGTTTATACACCATCTATGGTGCCTTAATATTTTAAAACAATGCAGCTCTAACTTCTTTATGAAAGTGTTTCACTATCCTTATCTTATCCTTATCAAGAAAGTGCATACTTCACTTCTTATCTCTCCCTACCTCACCTTCTGTCAAAAAGACATTTTTTAAGGAGTTCAAAACCAAATGTAGCCTTCAGGGACACARGAACCTGATGGCACTCCTCATTGTTGTGGGTTTTGACTGCAGTACGAGGGGTTGAACCCAGGGCATTCTACCACCGAGCTATATCCTCAGCACTTTTTAAAATTTCATTTTGAAACAGGGTCTCACTGAATTGCCTAGGCTGTCCTCAAACTTGTAATCCTCCTGCCTCAGACTCCTGAGTAGCTGGGATTTCAGGTGTGCACCACCTTGCTCTGTCTTAGTTGTGTTTTTAAATAAAAATGGTGGTAGAATTAGAAGAATGAAAAGGCTGCTGACCATTCTAGCTAAGCCACAATCTTTCCCATTTTGCAAATATTCAGAAAAGCCCATGCGTAGTGGCCTGATCCCCCAGCATCTTCCATTCTAATTAAAACAAGTCAACTGCTTAAACATTTAAAAATACTAGTTGTTAAAAATGTATGTCCATTAAAATGAAGCCTCTGATTTGCTTTATCAAAATGCAAACATAAGCATCTCGTGTCCCAGAGTGTGACAGGCAGAAGGACCTGTTCCTTCGTTCTACAGAAAGGAAAACTGACATTCCCCAGAAGCTCGGCTCTTCCAGGAACAGAGCTAGACAGCGACAGACAGTTCCTCTGAAGGTTCAGGACAAAGGCGTGCTGAGGCAATCCTGGGTAGAGGCCCACACTGCGCGTCCGCAGCCTCTCAGTCTTACCAGACAGGATGGCCTTGATTTCACCCTTGCTACGCCCTTCAGTTTTCATTTCTCAAAAAGCCTGGCAATCTTTTCATCTCCACCAGGCCGCCGCCGCTCAGGGCTGCTCTGCGGCCTCTCCCACCCCTGCCCCACGGCGGCCTGCACACRGTTCATTAAGCATTTGTGTAATGGGATGAACTCAGGCTGAGCTGCACTTGATTTTATGTTTGAAACGAAAGTGAAAATCAATGAATGGATTCTGTGAGTTGGAATGGGATTTGAATGTCCTGGCGCCCAGGACCGCGTGGGGCCCTGGATCACCTGGGGCCCCGCAGTCACAGCACACGTCGTTGCCCGTCATCTTCTGCACCTCTGAGATGATCTCCTTGGTCAGCTCCTGGACGATGTTGTTTTCCCCGGTGTTGTCGTCGCCCTTGAAGGCGTTGTTGAGAGCCTCCTCCTTGCTGTTCTGCAGCACCGACATCCATCTAGACAGACAAGAGCAGGGAGTCACGCCCCAGGATGGCTGCGGGGTCTGCCCCAGCCTCGCTTCCGAGCGACT